TGTACCCCAGACAAAATGGACGAATTATAGATTTCGAAAAGTTTCAGATAAACACAATTTGAATCTATCCAAGTCTTATTTGTTGTCATTCTATCCCCTTATTTTCTAACATACCCGATCCGGTCAAAGGCCAAGACGACTTGGTCAAACAAAACTTGATCTCATACGTAACAATCCAAAACTTTTAACTTTTATATGGACTACATCTTCCATGACTCAATTCGGTTTTATTAATTGGATATTTGGATCCATTAAAAACTTTATGTATGATTAAGAATAACCAAGTTTTGTAAATGTATATACTTTGTTTATTTTATATTGAAAATTAGTAAACTTATATATAAAATGTTTAGAATTGACTATTATAACCGGTAATGAAAGGTTTTTCCTTTTTCAAGGCAAACTTTTCTAATGACAATATGAAAGGGTTGCCAATCTTTATAATTGTATAACTCTTATCGGTTTTTTTATAGGAAAATGACACAAATGCCCTAAGAACTTTCTAGGGTTTATCCGTTGAGTCCCTAAAGTTTTTGTCGGGCTTTATGGGTCCCTAAACTAGGATATGACGTGCTATTTTAGTCATTGTCAACCTGTAATAGCCGATTCAGTAACCTTTTAGACAAAAAAAAAAAAAAACTCACATTATGCGCCTATAAAGCCAAAAAAATAATTTCAAGGATCAATTTGTACAAAAAAAAAACTTTCCTTTAATCACCCTCGAATCAATATCTGTCACACCCCAAAACCGAGAACGGCGGAAACGTTCTGGGGCGGAGGACGTCATGTATGTATCACAACAATGTAAAGTAGTAAACAAGCAACAACATCATCCATTGCATTAATAGTATAAGTTTCAAGTACATGTGAGTTCTTTCATAGTATAAATCTACATAATGAATATTCAAAATAAAAGACGAGTCTTGACTGCTCCGTTTTCACAAAATCTGGTCATCGTACCTGTCTTATTTGTGACCTGAGAATACAAGTTATTTTGAAAGCGAGTATCAGTAATAAAGTTGGTGAATTCATAAGTATTAATGTGTCTTTGATTTGCAAAACTGGAAAGTAAAGACTTGTAAACATTTGGAAAAAGTATGTATAAGTATGAACTGTTTGAAAGTAGTTGAAAACGTTTGAACACCCTAGCAAATCCCTATGATTTCTATTAGTATAAAGAGTAGTCTTCTACCAAGACCTAACTGTTTTGAAAGTACGCATCACTGTAAATGTGACGGTTTTTCCCAGTTTAACTGTTGTTATAAAAGTATAATCTACCTCATCGATTATGTAAATGTGTCACAAAATAAAGGTAGTAAAATAATTATATAAGTATTAGTCTACCTCATCGTTTATGCGAATGTATAACAAAGTAAAGGAAATGAACTAATAACTTAAATATTATCCTTTGGTACTAGGATAAACACGACATAGGAATTACCGAATAGTATTAACTGTAGTCATCCGAAAATGTACATTTACCTATGTTGCTAACAACTGGGTGTAGGAATAATTAGTCCCTTAAAGTATACCTATAATGGTATCAACCGTAGACATCCGTAGATGTTCATTTACCTCTGTAGCTAACCGAGGTTATAAGAATGGTAAGTCCCGAAATGTTTGTGACAGATCCTATGTAATAGTATCTATTAAACGTATTAATGTAGACATGTTCACGTAAGCGTATCTCTATAAATGTATCAATGTAAACGTATCTCTGTAAGCGTATCTATGTAAATGTATTCATGTAAGTGTATCTATGAAAATGTACTCATGTAAGCGTATATATGTAAACGTAGTCATGTAACATGTAATGTATTAGTATAGACTCATGAATCATCTGACTCTTGTGTGATTCCTTCTACCTGGAATTGTAAGTAGTATCTCCTAACTATACCTATTATAGTTACTAGTAATGTACGAGCATAACCTGAAGTATACCTTTGCTACTCAAAGGTACTGAACTGACTAATGGTACCTTTATACCTATATATGTATACATGATATATAAATAATATTTAGACGACATTCGGACGAGCAACCGATACACTAAGGCCACATCCCAACGAGGAAAAGGAAATAAAGCAAGCTAACCATCCTAAGTCCTTTAAACATTACTTATATAACTATACATATATGGGCATGCATTTGACAATATAAAAGCGTAAAAGAAGTTTTCTAAAACCGTTGAAAAGTTTAATAATAAGAAACGATGACCTGATGTCAGTTTATAAAACGATTGAAAGTATTTTGTTTGATAAGACAGTTTAAGTATACGGAAAACCTCTGTTTGAAAACACCTTTGTAACAGAGTTTGAAAGGAAGTTTACAGTGTGTAAGATAGTTTGATAAAGAGTTTTAAACATGTAAAAACGTTTAAGAAAGTCATTTGAAGAAATCTGTTTGGTAAAACAGTTAACGTATAGTAAATCCATTTGCATGCTAGTTATTAATCACATGTGATTGATATAATAACTAAACACGATTCAACTTGTATCCCCCCCCCACCCATAAAGCATTTATAAACATTTAAAAGTGTAATTAAGGGGTATGAACTCACTTGATTGAAGTGGTTGATTTAAAGTAGTCGAGAGAAGAATCGAGCAGAACTTCGACAGTAAGAGTTGAAAACGCGGGAAAATCTCGGGATACTCGGGAATATCGGGAATCTCGAGAACACAAAACCTTCCTTCGGGACTTGAAGGTGAAAACCGGGGCTTTGGGAGGGTCTCGGGGGGCTTAAACGCAGAGTTTCGGCGCGAGAAAGAAGGGAACTGAGCAATGAAACTCGGAGCCCTTGAAATCTATTTATAGGGGCATTTTTGGGGTGTGCCACGTCGTGGCAAGGGATGGCCACATCGTGGGGAGTCAAAATTATCCTCTTCCATTGATTGGACGCCCTGAGTCACTTGTCGGGTCGCGGCAAACTTGTGCCACGTCGTGGCAAGCCTGACAGCCTCGGATTTCGGGCCTCGAACTTGTAAAATCCGTAACTTTCGCATACAAGCTCCGTTTTCGACGTTCTTTATATGCACGCGTAGATGAAATTATGATCTACAACTCTCATTTAGACTTCATCAGCTAATTTTGACTTTATTTTTAATTATTTATTTTTAACGGTCCGGGTACACGAAAATTCCGTTAAAAATCCATAACTTCTTCATCCGATGTCCGTTTTCGTCAGAATTTTCATCGTTGCACCACTATTGTTGAGACCTTTGATTCTCATTTAGGTTGTTTTGGCCAAAAGTATCTTGATCTCTATTTCGAGTTTTTAGCTGTCTACTGCTATATCCGGATTTTGAAAAAAATCATAACTTCTTCATATGAAGTCAAATTTGGACGTTCTTTTTACATACGTTTACGGTTTAATGTTATCTACAACTTTCATTTAGATATTTAAGGCTAAAAACTATTGTATTGAAACTTCGCGTTTTTCGTTTAATCGGTGTTGCCGGTTTTGTCGGGAATTTTAGAATGGTTATAACTTCTTCGTTGTAACTCGGATTTTTGTGTTATTTATATGTATGAAAACCTTGTTACGATTCCTACCACTTGATTTAACCCAAATAAGATTTTAGGAAACTTATATTTTGACCTAAATTTGACTGGTTTTACAATATATTGTTTCGAAATGTCGGGTTGTCACAATATCACAACAGCCCAATCCAAACACCCTTATTCCTCCCCTTTGTCTCGTGAAATAAGCCACCATTGGAGCACCCATAACCCACAGAAACCACCAGTGAGCCACCATAAGTAATCACCTGCAAATCAAAGAAAAAAAGAGATTAACTCTCGTTTTCTCTGTGAACCTCTCGAAATCCACACATCCTTCTCAACATCGCATCCATCAAACATGCAACTTGAAGAGAGAAAGAGAGGTAGCTTTTGCGATTTTGAACAGAGAATAAGGAATGAAGGGGTTAATTGCTTGAAGAGCTGAAATCGAATCAAAGAAAATAGTGGAAAGGGGTTGTGACTGAGAATCGATTACAAGGGGAAGAGGGTTGTGATCTTCGGTGAGTGTGTGTGGCGATCAAGGGTGAAGACAAAAAAAAGAGCAACGATCGATTTCCTGGGAGGCTACGAATTGAGTGTGAATCGCCTTTAAAAGAAAATGATTTTTTTTGTATGAATTGATCCCCAAAGTTATCTTTTTGGCTTTATAGGGGCACAATGTGGGTTTTTTTGGTCTAAAATATCACTGAACGAGCTATTAGAGGTTGACAGGGACTAAAAGAGCGGATCATATCTTAGTTTAGGGATTCATAAAGTCCGACAAAAACTTTAGGGACTCAACGGGTAAACCCTAGAAAGTTCGTTGGACCTTTGTATCATTTTTCCTTTTTTTTATATACAAATCTGACCGATAAATATAGAGTTAAGATCACATTTGACCAATTAGATATTTAAAGTTAAAAGACCTAATTTGATCAATCATGAAAGTTTGTTCCGAATTAGACCTTACAAGTTTAATGCAAATTCAATATGAAAATTTATTGGTCAAATATGTAAAAAATATAAAGATTAAATGTATAAAATAGTAAAACTAGTCGCCTTCGAAAGTCATTACTTAAAATATATATGTTGAAGTGGTCAAAGGCAATCTAATCGGTATGCAAGTTTCAGTTTTTATACGGATTGAAGTTATAATTTCAACTTTCAATTCCTACATAGATTCATTGTGCTTCTTGGGGCATTAGGTTCTTGTTGTAAGCCACCTAATTGTTGTTATATACATCTCATGCTCTATGAACAACACAATTTAGGCCAGCTATGAGTTTGGTACAAAACTAATACTTAGTTTGGTGAATATGTTCATAAATCTTCTACCGGTTAAATAAAACTTGTGAAGGATGTATCGTATACATGTATGTGCATATTCATATTACCATTAAAATTGATTTATTTATTTATTTTCTTGATTTTACTAAATGCAAGTTAAGAAAATAGAAATTTATCCTGACACCCTACATATTGAACTTATCAAATCCTCTCTAATCAAAGAGTATACAATTCACATATATGCAATCATAGAACATTTCAGAATCTATATCACTCAACTGCTTTACTACAAAACTCAACATGCTATAGATTTGTTCAGATTGTGGATGAGTTTTATCATGAGCTATGAATCTGTGAGGTGATCCAAGTATCTCCACAAAGCTCCATCCTGGAGACTTCTTAACTCCTCTCTTCTCCATCACTTCTCTCATTGTTCTTGCTTCATCCCACCTCTTGATCACTGCATAAACATTTGACAAACCAACATATCTACCATCATGATCTGGTTCCAATTCAACAAGCTTCTTCCCCACTACTTCAGCAAGATCAAGATTCCTATGATTGATGCAGCCATTGAACAAAGCCCCTAACATGGAAGCAGTTGGTTCCATTGGCATTTGAGACAAGAATGTGTATGCTTCCTTAAGTTTTCCAGCTCGAGCCAATGCATCCATCATGCATGCATAATGTTCGGTTTTTGGATTCAAACCATTTTGAGTAAGAGACTTGAAATAATACCAAGCTTCATTTACTAAACCTCCATGAGCACAAGCACTTAGTATGCACAAGTATGTGATCTCATCTGGTGTGATCTTGTTCTTCTGCATCTCTTTAAACATATCAAGTGATTCGTGTACAAATCCATGTGTTGCAAGCCCTCCAATCATTGCATTCCAAATTAAAACATCGGTTTGTTTCATGATTGCTCCATGGAATACAGATAGTGCTTCCTCTATTGCTCCACATTTGGCATACATATCTACAAGTGATGTTCTTAACACTAAAGTTAAAGCTATCTTCTTGTTGATAATGTAGTGATGCATCATGATCCCTTGATCAAGTGCACCTAAATGAGCACAAGCACCCAATACACTCACCATAGTCACCTCATTTGCATTGATACCAGACCCATGCATCTTTTGGAAGATAGCCAGTGCTTCACTGTACTCACTACCTTTGACATACCCATCAATCATGGAGCTCCAGGATACAACATCACGCTCTGGCATTAAATCAAACACTTCCCGAGCCATTAATACTTTCTTACACTTGACATAGCAATCCAACATCGAGTTCCAGGAAACCACGTTCTTGTTTGGCATTTCGTCGAACAGCTTGCGTGCATACCCTGGATCCTTGAAAGAAGAAGATAAATGAATCAAAGAATTCTTAACGAACCTATCAGCATCAAATCCATCTCTTATAACACGTCCGTGAACCGATAGGCCAAGCCGAACCTCTTGCAAGTGCGACGCCGCTTTTGCTAGAAACGGGTAAGTTAGATGGTCTGGGTTTATACCCATCCGCAGCATGTCAACGAAAACTGATATCGATTTGTTAGGATTTTTGCTTTTCGAGTAACCCCTAATGATTGTGTTCCAATTGAAGATAGTTGGGTTTGGAAGTTGAAGGAAAATAGCGTAGGCGTAATCCATGTTCTTGGAGTGAGTGGCTGCAAAAGAGAGAAAGCTTGAGACGAATGCATCTTCTTGGGTTAGTGGAAGCCCGAATGTAATGATGAGGGAATGCAATTTTTTGAATTGGCACAATGATTTGCAGTTTTCAAGCAAGGCGATCAGATTCCCATTTTTACATAGCAATGCAGCATTCAACATTACCCGTGGTTTAGCGATCGGAATTGGACTCTGTTCAAGTTTATGGATGATGCCTGGGTTTTTTAGTTTAGAAGAAGTGGAGTCTTACAACAAAATGATAAACATGGACGGGTCACCGGGTCCAAAATACCCGGTCCAGCTTGGTCCAACAAATAAACAAAACATGATTTGGTATGATACGTATCAGTCCAGAACTTTGATATGGACCATACCAAGTTTTGTAAATGTATATATACATTTTGTATTTTTTTTTTAATATAGAAAATCAGTAAACTTACCTATAAAATTTTCAAAAATGGCTATTATAACTACTAATTAAAGGTTTTTTCTTTTTCAAGGAAATTTTTCTGGCGACCAATAAACATATAAAGGTAGCCAATCGTTACAACTATATTAAATATTATCGTTTTTTTTTATATACATATTTGAGCAATAGAGTTAAAAAGACCAAATTTGATCCATCATTAAAGTTTGTTATGAAATATGAATGGTCCTTGTGACTTCCTATAATCAATTTTTCTTTTTATAATTTTGGCCTAAATTTTAATTTTGTTACCAATATGGCTCAATTTCTATTATAAGTTTACCTTTTTACAAGGTTTTTTTTTTTTTTTTTTTTTTTTTTTTTTTTTTTTTTAAATATGCATTTTTCACAATTTTATTAAAAAAACTAAGTTTGAAAAAGCTTTGTAAAAAGTTGTTAACACATAATTTTATGAAAAAGGTTATAAATTTGCGAAAAAAGTTGTTGAAAATTTTTTTTGTAGAAAAAAATTAATTTTAAAAAACAGTAAAGAAATGTAGAAAAAGTTTAGAATAGATTTGTAATAAAAGTCAAAACTTAGGTCATAATTGTAAAAAATAAAAAAGTTGGTAATTTGTTAAACCTGCTATAGAAACAAAGACCAATTCCAGACAATTTTCATGATTGGTTAACCCTTGATGTAACAAAGTGTGTAAATTTTGCTATTGACATTTGAGATAATTTGTTTGTCATAATGGCTTTTTTTTGAACATTTTATTTTGATAATGTGCACAAAAAAAGAAAATGACTAAATCCTTTAAATGAAGGTTTTTTTTTTTTTTTTTTTGCCACATATCAATCTCTAATGAGTTTTTATATTTGTCATTTTGTGATATTTTATAAATAAATAATATCCACATATCAATTTATAGTTTTTTTTTTCAAAATTTAAAATTAAAAGCCACATAATCTTATATTTATATATGTAAAATATCAAATGTAATAAATATTATAATAAATTGCAATTAATATGTTTCTACATTCTACATTCTTTATTTCAAAATTTTATTTTAAAAAATATTTATTATTTATACTTTAATATTTTATTTTTTTAATCAACCCGTGTATTATGAGAAATCTCCAGAAAAATCCTAAAATTTTACCCTAAATTACGAAAAAGTCCCAAACTAAATTTTGTTACGAAAAGTATGAATTACCGGTAAAAATGACAATTTGACCTATTTTTTTCGGTTTACCGGTTTTATTATTTACCTGTTTTACTAAAGTCTTATTATTTTATCTTAATTTGCGAATAAGTCCCACAATAAAGTTTACTGAGGATTTGACCCTTTGCTCTATATAACATACATTTTATCGGTTTCATTGTTGACCCGGACGCCTAGTCATTAAATAAGACGATGAGATGAATATGTTGAGTTATATAATGTTATGTTTAGCATAAAACTTGATATCTTGATGTATTGTATATCTTTATGGAACTCATTTTCTACTTTTTTTTTTGGAAACATACATTTTATTGGTTTCATATCTAACGTAGATACATAGTTATAAATTAGTCGATGAAATGGATATCAAACTTTACAATAAATGTGACATTATATAACCCATCATATTCATCTTATCAACTAATTTAATGACTAGGTGTCTAAGTTAGCAATGAAACCGATAAAATATATGTTACATGAAGATCAAATCATCCGTAAATTTTATTTTGGGACTTATTCGCAAATTAGGGTAAAATAATGAGATTTTAGTGAAACATATAAGTAATAAAACCGGTAAACAGGAAAACTGAGTCAAATCGTCATTTTTACCGGTAATTCATGTTTTTTCGTAAACAAATTTTAGTTTGGGACTTTTTCATAAATTAAGATAAATTTTTATGACTTTTCTGGAGATTTCCTATGTAATATTGCAGAAGTTAGTTGCCCCTACAAGTTTATTATAAGAAGTCACTATGTAATTTTATTGGTAAAAATATGTTAAAATATAATGATTAAATATATAAAATTGGTCATTCTCGAAAATCATTACTTAAAATAATATATGTTGAAGTGATCGAAGTCAATCTAACTTAAAATATATATGTTAAAGTGGTCAATGTCAATCTACCGATATACAAGTTTCAGTTTTTATATGGATTGAACTTGTAGTTTCAACTTTCAATTCGTATATAGATTGTGCTTCTTGGGGCATGAGATTCTTGTTATGAGCCACCTAATTGTCGTTATACACATCTCATGCTCTATGAACGAGAACTAAGACTTAGTTTGGTGAATATGTTCCATATGATCTTCTACCAGTTAAACAAAACTTGTGAAGGATTTATCATATACATGCATATGCATATTAATATTACAAGTTAAGAAGATAGAATCTTATCCTCTCACCTTCCATATGGAACTTATCAAAATGAAAAAAAGGAAACATCAAATAATTTTCTCATGTTTGGTGTTTTACATAAAAAACATATTATTACTTTTCTCATGTTTGGTGTTTTACAGAAATTAAAACTTTAAATGGAAATAAACACACCTCATACACGATTATAGATCAACCAAGTATCACAAATGATTTATCATCTCACTCACCTAATCAACATACCACATTCATTAATATTTTAATAGTACTACCACTATTTGCCAACTATTGTATGCTTTTCTCAAGCATACGTTCAGCAATTTCACTAAAAAAAACTTTACACTTGCAATATGCCAACTTGGGGTACATATATTAGGACTATAACTGCAAGTACATTACACTCCATTTTACACTTGCCTATTAAGCACTTAACAGGTTAAGACTTTATATACGCGATATCAACAATGGCACAGAAGCAAGGGTATCCTCACTCATAACAGATTGAAAAAGATCCAACTCCCCATAACGTTCAAGAACACGCATCCTGCAATCTTCTGCAGCCATTAATCCAGTTGAATAAGCACCATGAACAGACCCTGGATATTCAGAACTTGTTGCTTCCCCTGCAAAGAATAAGTTATCCACAGGGATCCTCAGCTTATCATACAGATCATGGGGTTTTCCTACTGTATCATAGCTATATGACCCTAATGAATTCACATCACTTCCCCAATGAGAAACCAAATACTGAATCTGCATAAAAGAAGAAAAAAAACGTAACATTCAGTATACACGTATTCGATTAGTAAACATGTATGAAAGTAAGTCGATTTTTTGTAAACTTACTGGAGTGGAAGCATCTGGAAGAATCTTTTTAAGCTGTATAAAAGCGAAACTAGATGCAGCTTCATCTGACATTTTCTCAATATCTCTTGCTAGCTTTCCTGCAGGCATGTAAACAAGAACAGGATGACCTGTAGCTTTGTGAAGATTAAGAAAGTAGCTACATCCATATGAAGTCTCTGCAACTACTCCTAGAAACTCCACATTTGGCCAAAATACTTTCTCAAAATGTAAAATGATCTTGTTCTCAATTCCAACTCCAAGGTCAGCTATGGCTTCTTCCTTCCATTTAGGAAGTCTTGGTTCGAAAGTAATGGTGTCTGATTTCAAAACACCTAAAGGAACAGCAACTATGGCTGCATCTGCAAAGAATGTGTTGCCATTTTCTATGGTTATCTTCACACCATTTGTACGCCTGTTTATCTTCTTTACCCTTTTCAAGAACAAGACGAAAATGTAGGGTGTAAGTTAAAAGTCCACAAAAGAAACAAAATTGATCATAATTTTAATACCTGTGACCTAAGCGGATGTCAAGGCCTTTTGCAAGTGTGTTTATAACAGGTTGATAACCTCGGACCATTAGCCCGTGTCCACCTGGCAACAACTCTTCTTTGTCCCAACATTTGAGAGATATGGTGTCAGCATCAGCAGCAAACCACCCTTCCATTCTACACAGATACCATTGTAATACCTTATGAGAAAGCCCCTGCAATCTGTAAAAATGGCAAAAAAGGAAAAATTCAAAACCAAAACATGTCTTACATGGAGAGAAAGGCGTGCATTGTTTATAAAGATTGATAAGGTAGCTTAGAGTACCTTAGTTTTGGGTTCCTTTCAAAGACGATTGAGATTGCGTGTTGTATAGATGAATCTTCACTTAACTCTTCTCTTACTTTATTTGTCTGCAATAAACTACCCTCCATGTCAGAAAGAGAACAGACAGAAAATCCAAAATGAAAAAGAAAGAAGAGAGAGAGAGAGAGAGAAGACATGCCTCTTGCAATATGTTCTCAAATGTTTCGCCTACTTGTGAGACGAGTTCTTGAGGAACTTGATTCCCATCCATGTCAAAAAGTGCATAGCTAAAGAATTGTAATAATAATCAGTAAAAGAATACATCTATAACAATGAAGTTTGAACCACATACATGAAAATCTTTAAAAAGATGAAGTGGCATACCTTTCCAAATCATGATCATATAGCACTGAGTTGTCACCACTTGTACGATAGAGAGGTAACCCAAGTCTTCCAATAAGAGGTGCCAAAGGATTCTCTTTGCAAACTCCATGCAACCTGCAACATTAACATTAACATTAAGCATAATAATCACACACAGCACACAAGCATACTGTATAACAATCAATATTGTGAACGAATCATACCAAGATGCCCCTAAGTCCACGGGAAAACCAAATGAGTAATCTGTCCTAACTCGACCACCAATTCTTTCACGAGATTCGAGTAATATAACCTGAAAAGAACATGGAATTAATAACATATTGTCTTCTATATTCTATTCGGTGTTCTATAT